TCGGGGGACGGGGTTTGCCATGGCAGCTCCCGCTGCTGCTCGCAGCCCTCTCCTGCCTGCCGGCTCTCAGCAGCGCCCAGCTCCGCTACTCCGTGCCCGAGGACCGAGAGCCGGGCTTCTCGGTCGGCGACCTGGCCAAGGACCTGGGGGTGGAGGTGCGGAGCCTGGCCGCCCGCAGCCTGCGCCTGGTGAGCGAGGGTGGGCAGCAGCACTTCCAGGTGGACCTGGCGGCGGGTGTGCTGCTCCTCAGTAGCAGGCTGGACCGGGAGGCACTGTGCGGGCAGAGCCCCACGTGCTCCCTGCACCTCCAACTCGTCATGGAGAACCCCCTCCAGCTCCACCGTGTTGAGGTGGACGTCCTCGACGTGAATGACAACGCGCCCCAGTTCCCCAAGCCGGAGGTGGTCTTGGAGATCACTGAGGTAGCCAACCCTGGGACTCGGCTACCCTTGGAGGTAGCAGAAGACCCAGATATGGGCTCCAACTCCATCTCCACCTACGAGCTCAGCCCCAGTGAGCATTTTGCCCTCAGTATCAACGTGAGAGGAGATGGTGTTAAAATGCCTGAGATTGTACTTGAAAAAGCACTGGATAGAGAGAAAGTGGCTGTTCATCACCTAACACTGACAGCCCTGGATGGAGGGAATCCAGTGAAATCCGGCACTGCCAAGGTTACCATCCATGTCCTGGATGCAAATGACAACCCTCCTGTCTGTGACCCACCCATATCCAAGGTACATCTGGAGGAGAATGTGCCAGTGGGCACTCTGGTCACCAAGTTGAATGTCACCGACCTGGATGAAGGTCCCAACGGGGACGTGGAATATTCTTTCAAAACTAGCAATAACGCACCTGGTAAATTCACCAAGCTGTTCTCCTTAGATCCCCGGACAGGGGAGATCAGAACCAAAGGCCCGTTGGATTATGAGGAATCCAGCGCTTATGAGATTGCGGTTCGAGCCAGGGACAAGGGATCCCCCGCCATGGAAGGACACTGTCACCTGCGAGTGGAATTAATCGATATCAATGATAACAGCCCAGAGATCGTGCTGACCTCTCTCTCCAGCCCAGTGCAGGAGGATGCAACCCCGGGCACTGTGATTGCCCTCATTGGTGTGAAGGACAGTGATTCTGGTGAGAATGGGCAGGTCCGTCTGCAGATAGCAAAAGAGCTCCCATTTAAACTGGTGTCGTCTTTTAAAGAGCATTTCTCGCTGGTCACAAATGGTCCCCTTGATCGGGAGAAGGCCAGTGGATACAACATCACGGTGAGGGCTGTGGATTTAGGGTCCCCACAGAGGGCCACGCAAAAAACCTTTTACCTCCAAATTGCTGACGTGAATGATAATGCGCCAAATTTCTCCAGCCCTTTTGATACAGCTCACGTTCAGGAAAACTCCCTTCCTGGAACTTCTGTTTTTTCAGTGTCAGCATCTGATCCCGATGAGGGTAGCAATGCCAAGCTGTCTTACTCCATCCTGCTCAATGGGATGCAGGATGTACCCATCTCAACCTACTTCCGAATAGACCAGGACAATGGCACCATCTACACCGTGAGAGCTCTGGACTACGAGCAGGATAAGGTGTTCCAGGTGCCCGTGGAGGTGAAGGATGCTGGGTCTCCAGCGCTGAGTAGTACTGCTGTGGTCCATGTGTTTGTCCTGGATGAGAATGACAATGCCCCCATCATTGTCTACCCATCCGTCCCCATGGGCTCTGCCTTCCACCAAACCATCCCGGCCTTGGCAGAACCTGGCTATCTGGTCACCAAAATTGTAGCTGTTGATGCTGATAGTGGCCATAATGCCTGGCTGTCCTACCAGCTGCAGGAGACCGCTGAGGCTTTGCCTTTCCAAGTGGAACGCCGCTCTGGAGAGATAAGGGTTGCACAGGCTCTCAGGGAGTCAGAAGATCCCCACAGGCTGGTGGTCGAAGTGAGGGACAATGGGACACCATCCCTCTCGGCCTCTGTGGTAATAGTCATTTCTCCAGAGGAAAACAGTGTGCAGGACTTCGCCAAGTCCTTGGACCTCCCCAAATCTTCTCCCAAGGATACCAACCTAACGCTTTACCTCATCATCTCCTTGGTGTCCATTTCCCTTGTGTCCTGCGTGATGTTTGCTGTGGTGGCTGCCCGGTGTCTCAAAGCTGGCGCTGCCAGCTGGACCTTCATGGGTTGCTGCCGAGGGACTGGCCGCAAGCCCACCTCCCATTTCCGTGGGCAGATGAAGCCAGATGGCTTCATCAAGTACCTGGACGTGGGAGGAGCGGGCTTGACCTCCCAGGCACAGAATTACACCTCTTGTTTCTCGCCCATGTCTGACCAGAGTGATTTCCTCTTTGTAAAACCTTTCAGCCATTCTAGCACTGCGGAGACCGTGGCTGCCTATGAGCAGGTGACCAGCACCTTAGCGAGTCCCTGCGATGGGGTAAGAGATGGGTGTTTCTTACTGTCCTGTCTGCTAAGCGCAACGGTCCGTAATATCCAGGCCAGTTGGCTGTTCTCTGCCTGTCCTTCCACCTAAGAAGGTGGCTTCAGGGAACGTGTGTCACCGTCACCTCCTGGGAGGTGGCAGGTGAAAGCTTTGGCTCGGCCTGATGGAGGTGGGGGAAGGGGCTGGGCAGCACTATAAAATCAAAGACTGTGTGTTCGTAGAAGCGGAGAGTTTTCCCTTGGCCCCGTTTGTACTCTTTTCTTTTTAAAGTGATTCTTAGCACGGTCAGGAACATGGTTTTTGGGTGTTCAACTTCTTGATTCTGTTTAACCCCTTTATTCTGCATGGCATATGAACCGTGACACGGGAGGAGGTTATCTGAAAGCGAAGTTCGTCGGTGTTTCTTTTGCTCTGTTTTAGAGGTGCATTGTAGGAATTTCTCATTTCTTAACTCCCAAGTGTTATTAATTACTGTTTGTGCCCCGGCAAGGGATCATTTTCCAGCTTGGTCGTTTTGAGCAAGGGGCTGAATTCACTATTCAACACTGAACGTAGTGATATTTTACACAAAGATCCTGGTGACCTTAGGTGCCCTTGGGCTTGCAGAGACCTAGTCAGCGGCGTGCTTTGAAAAGTTTAAGCACTTGTATTCAGATGTCTAAATATGGATGTAGGTGATTGTGTTTAGCTGTAGCTTTTATAACTTTGAGATATAAAAGGTAAAGTAATTTTGTGTCATAAATGCCTGCCCTAAATTTGGAAGTGGTATTTACAACAGCAATTCAAAATATAGATTGGGAAGGGCTTATCTAGTGCAGGATTGTGTGTCAGCGTGTGCAAAAATGTGTATCTGAAATCTGGAGGGCAAGTATTTACACAGCTTAATTTGCATGCAGCATGGGTACCAGTGGGGCCTCTATTTTAGGGGAGTAATTTATTCTAATATATTCTTCCATGAGAATCATCAAAGCTGTGGAGAAATTAGTGAAATCACATCTCCTAAATAAAAATCTAGGTCAGCTGTACCCGTCTTCACTTCTCCTTAGTAATTGCATGTACAAGCAGAATAATCCTATAAAATTGATGTTTCGCTGTATGGACTATGAACTGCTCATTCCTAAGGTAACCGAGAGAAATGTTGTCCTTTCCAGGTAGCATGTTATCATTCTGGAGTTAATTAAGATTACGATTTTCGGAAGTATGCGTCTTCCAGACAGAAAAGAGTTCTGCTCTTTAGTGCTCTTCACAAAGGCGTGATTCAGACAGGAATATGCAAGCCTGCTTCGTGTCCTTCCTTATTTACAAAATGTCCATTGTCTGGTGGTAAAATAACACGGGCAGAAAGCGATACGGGGGCTTACTAATGAAGTTACAAAGTGTGCTGCTGTGTCCGAAGTTTATTGTCTCCTAAACAAATAATGCTTTTTTCTTTTGCTGTCGGAAGTTCATTCTTTTCTCCACGGACAGAAAAATATTGTAATGCTCTGAGGCCACAGCATCTAGGAAAAGTCATTCAAATACAATGTGTGAAATCAAGATCTCAGGCAGGCCTTTTTAAGGACAGAAGAAGGACAGATTAGGAAGGTCTGTTATCATTTTACCTTCTGGCATTAAAAGCATCTTTCCCAGTATCAATTAACTCTGCCACCCCCACCCCCACACACCTCTAAGCTCATTACTTTGGTACCATTGCTTCTGCTGAATTGATGCCCTTATCAGTTTATTTCATGCTTCATTTCTTTCACAGCCTGGTTTCCTGAGCTGCTTTGGAAGATTATTCGCTGAATAGTTTTTGTCATGCTTTTTAGTATTCATACTGGTTCAGAAATACTTGGGGAAGCGGGGGGGGGAACTTGGGGAAGGGGGGGGGAGGGGGGGGCTTTCTTCTTTTTGTTCTAATTGATTTGCTTTACTTGGAAGGAACATGCTGATATTCCAGACTGAAATAATCCAGGATCAGTTCGTCTTCATTTTCAAAGGCAAGAATGGAGGTATTAAAACTCTTCTATTTTCTCTGCAGCAAGCTCAGCCTAACACAGACTGGCGCTTCTCTCAGACCCAGAGACCTGGAACGAGTGGGTAAGTGCATCTTTCTCCATGTATGTGTCCGGTGAAGGTTTCTTTCCTTTGCGTACCACTTTCAGTGCTGGCAAGTCCTCGACTGGCAGCTCTGAGGAGGGGTGTTCCCTGTCATTGGTAGAATTGTCCAGCCAAAGAGCCAGAAGTAGGGCTCTTTCTGTGTCAGCTCTGTTTGATGGTGATGTGACAGCTGTTGTTTGCAATGGTGTGTCTGGTTTTGGTGTCTACAGCTCAAGGAGGACAGTCAGGAACCAGAGGGAGTTCCAGGTGAAGTTGTGAGATGGTTAAAGGACTGGAAAACATGCTTCTCAGTGAAAGGCTTGTTACCCAAAGCAGATTTTGAGCCTTTAGACTAGATTTAGGCAGATTCTGAGTTCAAAATTATGACTCCTCCCCTTCATGGAGGCCACTGGAAATCACTATGTGAGTCCCTTTATCAGCCATGGAGACTCAGGCTCTGTGCTGCTGAAGCATATTGCCTGCTCTGGCTTGAGCACCTAGCGTCAAGCCACTGTGTAAGCCCCCATGGAAGCCAGAAGTCGACTAGATGAGTCTCAGGTCCCCAAAGACCCCTCTAGAGAAATGCGTCCCAGCCACATCTAACGTCAGCAAGAGCAGGTCCCTCATGAAATGCCACTGTACGTGCTTTCTTCTGTGGGCTAGTCTGTCTGAATTGGGGTTGGGAGCCCCAGATCCAACTCCATTTGTTGGGGAGTTTGGAGTCTTTCTTGCATTCCTTGGGAAGGGCCGTCACCAACACAGGGTTCATCCAGGTGAGGAGCCCTCTGCACGCTTCCCACTGGAGCTGGGCAACCGGCCAGAGGGAGGCTAAGGAAGAAGAAATTAAACCTAATGGGTCAGGAGACTCACAGGAAGGAGGTCTCCTAAGGTCTGGTCTTGCTCTCAAAACCATGGCTGAATTTTTCCCAATTTACGTGTGATGCCAAAAAGATAAGAAGCCTTGGCAGCAGAACAGAGACCTGCCTCCCAAGTGAGTACCCCCTCTTGACTGTGCGCCCTCTTGCCTCTGGCCCAACAAAGTTTGCTTTTCTTGGTACACAGTGAGAAAGTGTCGACAAGAAAATGTTGAGCAGGTGCCCTTCGCCTCTCCCGTCTTTCTTCCTGGTTCATAGGCAGGGGCAGGGATCCTCTTCAGAGGGTGAACTTCCTTAAGTACCATCAGGGTAAGAAAGGACTTAAACTGGGAGTCCACCTTCCTCTGAGAATACCCCAACCAGAGGCTACTGTGTATGAGGAGACTGGCTCCAGGATAATTTATATGTGAAAAGATTATATCTCTTGGGGCATACCCAAAGATTATACCCTTGGAGCAACCAGGAGTAAATTCGGATGCTGTGCTTCCTTGGCTGGCGGGGTCAGGCACCTTATCTCTGCGGAAAAGAGGAACTCGCACCTCTGTGCTTTGTCGTTCGTGGTGGCCACTCGGGCAGCTCCCATGAAGGTTTAAACGGTGCCACAGGGAGCATCAGGTCCTGGATTTTGGTGTCGGAGCTTGCAGTTAAACATCAGCAGCTGGTTGTGTCTGAGTCTTTCCTTGGGTCTGGCTCGATAATTTAGCTTAACAGAAAATTAAGAGACTGCTATAGCTAACTTGTTGCAGCAGTTAAACTTTGTTACTAGGCTCTTCTAGCTGACAAAGGCAAAATGGAGTGAGGGTTTGATGTAAAGTGTATAAAGAATTCCCACTAGAAACCAGCCATGGACTTTAAAACAAGGCTATCGCTGCAACAGTTTCCTCAGAGCTCTGTTGAATTCCCCATCACTGACAACATTTTAATCAAGAAAAATCTTTCTAACCGTTTACGCTCTAGTTCAAATGACAATTAACTGGAAAGCCCTGTTAATGCAGAAGTGCGCCAGAGCAGCTGTAATAGTTTTGCTATGAGAAGTGAGCAAATGAGCCCCGTCAGAGCAAGCTCTATTGCTCCCTCTTCTAGCATCATGCCGGAGCTCTTCAAGGCACAGCGCTGATGCAGTGCAGACCTACTTAACTCAGTGACGGGGACCTTTTCTCAGGTCATGGGCCAGTGGCCCTCCCTCCAGCCCTCAGGCTCTGCCTGTAGCTCTTTACAAGCTCCAGCCCCTTCCTAGTGCCTAAGTTGGAGCAGCAGCACTTGGGGTGGGAAGAGAGAGGGCAGGGCAGGAGGAAAGGCAGCCTCAGACTCTGTTCATGGGGAGCTGAGCTAGCACGACATGCTGGTTCTGGTGCACGAGCCGTGATGTTACCCCTGATGAGCTGTGACCTGGGTGCCCACGGCAGTCCCTGAAACAGCTACCAGCAGCTCGTGTCAGTGCTGGTTGTGGCATAGGTTCCCATAGCACGGGCTGCCCTGGGTTTGGAGAGGGGCTTTGCCCAAGCGCAGGCTGGTACTGAAATAACTCAGTGGAAAAAAAATCATTTTTTAAGTCGTGCTGGTTTCCCCCACCGTCCTGTGTGCAGATTCCACATTTGCAATGAAACAGCTCTCGCTGATTTTTTTTCTGTTTCTTTTAACCTGTTTTAAGTTAAATCAAGGGAGATGTTTTTATTCTAAACCCTTGTTACAATACTAAAGGATGGAAATAGAAAGCGCTATCATATGTTCAGTGCCCAGCCCTGACATCTCTCTAGTGATCAAACAGGCAAATCCTGGAAAGCAGTCTGCTCCCCACTGTGCTCTTCCCATGCTCTTCCCAGCATTTCGATGTCTGGTGTGTGAATTCCCCAGGCACCGGTTGGTAGTACAGGTATTAAAGAGGGTGCAAGGGCAGCTGTCTGAGCTCTGCCTGCCGTTACTCTTTCCAGTATTTGTTCATGTACAACCATGTCTCCTGCCGACAGGCGAACCTCTCTAGCACCGTGAGCTCTCTGAACTGCAGGGCTCTGCTTGGTGCTTGGGGAACACAGGACACCTCTTAGCTGAAAAGAAAAAGAAAGGATGTGCTCTTAACTGCATTTGCCTGACCCAAATTAAATAGCGATAAAGACAAGGCAGCTTAGGCTAGCGGTTTGAAGGGATCCCACAGGGAGTCCGGCACTGACCCTAAGCCAGAAAGCAGGCTTAAACCCATGTTGTGATTTCTCCTTTGCTGTCTTCATGGGAGTTGGAGAAGGGAACAATCCTGTCTTTGCTCAGCATAGCCCTGCCCACCAAAACAAATCCCACATGTCTCTGAGCACCTGGAACCAGGCAAAACTCAGGGTAAGCTCAATAAGGCAGGGACCATCTCTCGATCCTGTACATCACTGCATTCAGAGCGCTGTTACGGGACAACAAAAAGAATTTATCCTCTGTTCTGAAACACAGGAAAGCTCTGGTGCGCATGCTCAGGAAATAAAAGCTCAGACAATATCCTTTGAAAATGTGATAGGGAGTCAGACCTGAGTAGAGTGATTCTCAGTTAATCTTGTTTGGGAGAAACAGGAGGATAGATTAATTCATTTAATGAAGTTTGTATTTTGTTTTCTAAAAAAAAAAACCCAAAACCCCCATGCTGTCTCTGGGCAAATGTAAATGAATACAAAATGAATACAGAATGATACCGAGCAGCAGATGCATTCCCAGACAAATCAGATCAGTGGCTGTAGTGGAGAGTGGAGATTACAGCGATGAATTGTCCAAAGTGGAGTAGACGTACAGTCCAGCAGCATTGCAGGACATCCTTGTGGGATCATCAGCGTGGGGTTTCCCTGGGGGGGTGGCAGATGGGGGGAGAACTCAGGGACTGGGACTGGTACGAGGGACATATCTTGTTGCTTTTTCAATAGTCATCAAAGGAACAGAGACCGTGCTTGTGCCCTGTACGTTCATAGTACTTGCCTGACCCTGGTAGCCCTTTGTTTTGATCTCTGTGTGATTCGGGGAAACACCGGGCTCAAGTCAGGATTTCCTTCCTGGAGGAGTGAGAGGGTTGTGTGTTGCTCACAGGTGGGCATGGGAGGGTAAGACATCCCAGGCTGGGAAAAGCCGGAATGTCCTGGGCAGCTCATGGGAGGAGTGGGGAGTGGGGACCATCTCAGGCCATGTGGGTAGGCTAGAAGGAGGTCCCAGGCAGGAGGCACCCCAGAGACTGTGGCGGGGGACTCACAAGGAGGCGGGGAGCAGTGTGGGAATCCCCGGTCACTTCGGGGGATGAGCAAAGCATGCAAAGAAGATATGGAGTGTCATTTCACACACCCCCTCCATTTATTTTCTCTAATCCTAAATCTCCCTGTTTCCAACGCTGTTGCGAGCCAGACTCCCTCTCCCAGGGCGAACACAGTCAATGGTGATGTTTGCTTCACTTGCCTGTTAAACAGCGTCACGGCCACCCTGTCTGACCCCGGCCATCATCACCCAGGCTGTGCAGAGGGAGGAAGGAGAGTGCAGCTAAAGGGGTGTGCAGCTGACAGTGGAGGTGCCCATAGGAGAGCTATGAAGGAAAGGAGGTTTTTTTCACTCATTGTTTCACTTTCACGCCTGAGCTCCAGGAGTTGGGCTGGCAGGACTAACGACAGCTTGCCTGTGCGTGGTGGGGGACAGGGAGGGGGAAAAAAGGTCTTCCAAGGATAGGCCTTAAAGCTCTCAGGAGCATTCTTGGCGTTCAGAGTGTGCAGGTACCGCCAAAGAGTGGCTGCAGCTCAGGAGGCTTCTGGTGTGTGTTTGGGGTGGTCAGGAGGTCCCATGTGACAGCAGCACCCCAGTGTACCAGAACACGCTCCCGCCAAGGGGACCCCATAGGGTGCATGTCTGGGTGGGACATCTCAGAGCACGCAGCAGCTGGGGCCAGAGGCCAGAGGCAGAGGGAGACGCAGACGTTCATGGGCTTATGCAGCGTGGGGGCGGATACACAGCAGAAAGACAACTGGCCACAGATGCAGACTTCAGCACGTCCTTCCTAAAAAAAAAAATACTTGCTAACCCAGCAGCCACAGGGCGTAGTAACCCCATAGGAATTTACGTTGCAAGTTTGTGTAACGCTATAGTGCATGCAGTAGCAAGTGCTATAAAGCACACGCA